CTTGCAGGTCGCGCTCTTCCCCAGGCTCCCGCCGCCCTGGCCTTGGCCTCTGTCCCTGGTCTACAGCCCCTCTGGGCTACAGCCCCCTCGCCCCGCCCCGCCTCCAGGGGCTCCTAGCCGCTGCCCCACCCTAGGAGTCTAGTGGCCCCTTCTGCTAACTGGACAGTTGCATCCTCTGAGGCGAGGAAGTGTTTCCGCATCTTGTCTTTGATCTTTCTTTTTAATCACGGGAGGCCCAGGCAGGGCGCCTGGCGTGGGCTGGGCTACGGCCCGGTCTCCGAGGGAGCCCGCGCGCCCAGTTTCCACCGACGCTACTTGAGGTCTCCCTTGGCTGGTATTCCAGTCCCCTTGTGTCGCCTTCTCCGCTCTTGCCTCCTCCCAGCCACCCCTCTGGGTGGGGTTCACCGTGTGTGGTCTCCTGCTCCTGACCCTGGTCACGGGCCCTGAGCTGGGGGGGAGGGCATGTTTTCCACTTGGCACCCCACGTAGAAGCGACCCCAGGGTGTTGCTTGATCCAGGGTGGGCGTGTTCAGGCCAGCGGATGTTTGCCTGGGCCCTGGGGCCTGAGGGCTGAAAGTGCAACTGCGCGCTCCCTGGAGCCCAGGGCGGGGAGCCCAGGGCGGGGAGCAGGCTTGGTGCTACCCCCAGTTCAATGCTGAAAGCAGAGATCTGGAGTGGCTGACCCCAGGCCCAGTGCCACCCCGTTGCTGAACGAGATACCCCCCAGACCTGTCTTCCTGCCCCATGCAGGCCTTGCCTGCTGAGGCCTGGCAGCAGGCCTTGGGCACACTCCGTGTCCTCCCTGTCCACAGAGGGGTCTGCACCCTGGGGCGCATGGTGGGCGTGGGGCCGTGGCTGCGTGGCCTCCCTGGCTGGCGTGCCCAGCGCGCTTTGCTCACTTGGTCTCCTCTCGTAACCGTGTGTCCTCGGGTGCAGAGAGACGTTGCTGTGTGCCAGGCAGTTCCCCGCCAAGTGACCTATACACTCCATCAGTAGGGCTGGTGGGCGCCCCCATCCCACAGATGGGAAGGGGGCTGGGGGGTGCAGGTGCACACCTCCTGAATGGCAGGCCGAGCTGCTGCAGCAGGGCCATGTGTGCCGTGACGTCACCGTCTCAGATGCAGCCCGGCAGTCCTGCTGGACATACCGGGTTTCCACCGTCGGAAAGGGGCCTCGTGCCCATGCGGTGCCCGTCCAGGGCAACCCGGGCATGTAGACCTGCCTGTCCCAGACATCCCAGAAAGTGCTCTGCGCTGTGCCACAGTCTCTGGGGCAGGCTCTCTCTCTTGGCACAATGTTTTGGAGTTCACCTGTGCTGAATTTGGGTCAGCACTTTATTGGCACACATCCTGTTGCGGAGGTAAACCCCAGAATTTGAGCTGAGCAGACTGGTTCTGAAGTGCTTGGTGCTGCAGCCATGCCAGGCTGGTTCTTGCCGTCGGCTTGGAAGGTTCTCGAGGCATCGCTTACGTGTTGACGCGTCTCTCCTGCAGGTGGCCGAGTGCCTGAATCATCCGCGCCCTCCTCCAGCATCTTCACACACAGGCGAGAACCCAAGTCCTGGTCACTGTGATCAAGGTTTCGGGTGGGAGAAAGGAGCTGTGACTGCCATCAGAGGGGTGGGGAGTCTAACTGGCTTTTGGTCTGTGCCTAGGAAGAAGAAGCGGGAAGGATAAAAGATTGCTGGGACAACCAGGAAGCTCCAGCACTTTCTACGTGTAGCAATGCCAATATCTTTCGAAGGATAAATGCCATACTGGATAACTCTCTGGACTTCAGCAGAGTCTGCACCACACCCGTAAATCGAGGACCCCATGATCACTTGCCAGGTGACTCGCGTGGATGGGAAAGCTGTGTGCCCTGGGCACGCGCAGGGCAGCTCCGGCAGCCTCCTTGGGACATCCGGGGATGCGCGGCCAGCGGGGGTGCGTTTTACCTGGTGGATCGGGTTCTCTCGGGAGCAGCAGGGCGGAGGCAGCCGGACCGTTACGTGCGTTACATGGGCTCTGAGGGGGGCGCACGTGCAGCTGACAGCTTCCCAGTGGCCGCGTTAAAAACGTTAGAACTGGTGACGTGAACTCGAAGTTTACTTAAACCAGCATCTCACCTGTCGGGTGAGACGGACTTCTGGCGTCTGTAGAAACTGTTTCTAGGAAGCCGTCTAGGAGGGTGGATGAGACAGGCCTGGAAGTGGGGCCCGCTGCAGGTGGGTCTTCTGCAGATGTGTGTACACGTGAATAAACACCAACCTAGCCGGTACTGTCTGTTAACTGGAGTCAGGCTTGAGGTTCCCTTACTCTCCTTTAGTTTATACCGAGTTAAAAATTCAAGGATTCTTCTGGGGCTCCACGTTCTGTTTGTTTTCTTTGCGAAATTTACATATTCCAGCATTACTCCAATAAGTATGGTATCAGTGAAGACTCACAGCTCACTGTTGCTTCGTACATGCTGGAAACTTTCAAGTTCACGGGGAGCTAGCTTTTGCTCTTACGGGGTTGTTGGACTGCGCAGGTCAGGAGAAAAGGGTGCTGAAGAGTGCGCTTCGCCTTGTCGGGCCAGTGGCCAGACTAGACCACGAGATGTACAAGGGGTGGGCGTAGATTTCGTGGCCTCTGCAGACCCTGCGGGGACACACATCTAAGAGGCTCTGCGGGAAGAGATGGGGTCCTGGGTGGTCTTGGACAGTTTTCCCCGGAGGACAGAGTGAAAGAGCCAGGCCCCGGGGGGCTCTGATGAGGAAGCGGTCCCAGCGCCCTGGGAGCGGGAGGAAAGGGCCTGGCCAGGGTGGCCGGTGTCTGAGTCCACACCCCTGACCCCCCGGCTGAGCGGCTAGCCCAGGCCCAGCTCTTGGTCCATGGTGGGGCCGGGTCCCTCGAGCAGAGCGCTGAGTTGGTTTCTCCAAAAAGAAGTCCTGATGAACCAGTCAGTGGACGCTGAGGTTGTGATTTGTGGATGGGAGGTAGACCTGTTACTGTCCTTGAGGAGCTATTTATTTCTGTGTAGAAGAACTGGGGTACATGCCAGAGGTTGGGGGCTGAGAGGACCAGGACCCCAGAGACAGTGGGGAGCAGACGGGTGGACAGCCTGACCACACTGCTGAGGGGGCAGCAGGGAGACAGGCGGGGTCTGCTGCACTGTTGGGTCACTCCCTGGCGGGGAATTGAGCTCTGGCCGCAGCAGTGACAGCCTGAGACCCAACCCCTGGGCCACCAGGGGGGCCCCTCCTTGAACTTTTTAAGAAATAGCTTGAGTATATAGTTTCCGATCAAAAGTAATTTTATCTAAGCAAATAATTTGAATTGTAAAATCTGAAAACATGTTTCTCGTTGCAATTTTAACTAGAAAACTTGGCATCAGGCTAAGTAACCCTTCAGGGAATAGCTCTTAATGTAGCTTCTAGAACTTTCCAAGTAGCACTATCCATCTATAGTTGTTAAACTCAGTCTTTGCAGAAGACTGTTCTGCTTAATGACTTAGAAGGCTGCTCACGGCAGGGTAGCCTGGACTGAGGACACGGTAGAGGAGGCTGCAGTGATGATTTTTTTGAGGAAAATGATTTATTTATGTGTAGAAGAACTGGGGCGCACGGGTGGCGGGGTGCGGGACCGCTTCCCGACGGAGCCTTAACGCGAGGGCGGCCGCCGCTGCCGGGGCCGTTTTCTGTGTTTCCCCATCGGCGTGGCCAGCGCCACGTGCTTTGGCGTAAGAGCAGCTTCCGGAGGCCGCCGGTGCTCGCGGCGCCTCGGCGGCCCTTGCCCGGCTCACGTT